CAGCTCACTTTCTTTTCAGGCTCACATTAATAACTTAATTCGGTCAGCATACTTCCATCTATGTTCCATAAACCGTCTCCGTCCCTCACTGACGCCTCACACTGCCGCCATTCTCGTCCACAGCCTCGTCACCTCCCGTATCGACTATTGCAGTTCACTTCTTTATGGTCTTCCCAACAAACTCCTTCATAAACTGCAACTGGTCCAGAATTCGGCAGCCCGTATTACCACCAGAACCCCTTCCTTTCACCACATCACGCCGGTTCTCCAGCAGCTTCACTGGCTCCCAGTTAAATTCAGGTCCATCTTCAAAATTCTCCTCCATACCTTCAAAGCTATCCACAACCTCTCTCCTCCATATATCTCAGACCTTATAAGTATTCACACCCCATCCCGTTCACTCAGATCATCTTCTTCCATCCATCTTGCAGTTCCTTCTGTCCGTCTCGCTACCATGGGGAGCAGAGCTTTCAGCCGCTCTGCTCCCCGTCTCTGGAACTCACTTCCCCCAGACATCAGGAACGTCGACAGTTTTACCCTTTTCAAAACCAAACTCAAAACACACATGTTTAAATCTGCCTACAACCTCTGATTTTATTGAACTGTTTCTCTCTTTGTTTTTTCTTCTTTGGGTTTTATTATTGTTTTATTGTATTTTATTACGTGTTTTCTGTAAAGTGACCTTGGGTGTCCTGAAAGGCGCTTTGAAATAAAATGTATTATTATATTATTATTATTATTATTATTATTAAAGTGCTCAAATGTAGCCACAATGGGATGAGGTCTTCTGCTGTCTGTTCTCCTGGCTCCATGACGATGTACCCGATGAAAGGTGATGTTTTTAACCGTTTCCTCAGGTATCTTCATGTGGGTGTGGAGAAAGTTCTTGATGGTTTGTTCGCAATCCTCCGCTTCTCCTCCGGTCTGCTCTGGAAGGCCTGCGAACACCAGGTTATCTCTCATGCTGCGTGATTGGAGATCCAGAACCGTCTCCTTCAGAGCATTGTTGTCCTGGGAGATCCGATCTAATTCTGCAGTCAAGGAAGAAACCGATTCCCGCAGAGACGCGTTCTCAGCCGCGAGCCGCTCCACCCGCTCCTGGCTAAACTCCAGAGATGTTCGGAGGTCCTGGAACTCCTTGTGAAGCACCTCAAGCAGATGGAGCCGTCCCTCAAATCCCAGAAGCCGTTTATCTATGGACTGTAGTAGATCTAAGACATCCTTATGGGGAGATGAGGCCTCGGGCGAGTCCTGGGGACGGCTCCTCTTGGTCCCAGGTGTGTCCGTCTCAGCTGCTGCTGCTTTCTTCGGTCCCATGACAAAAACTAGGGATGTGTATTGATGAAATTCTGGCGATACAATACGTATTACGATACAGGGGAGACGATACAATGTATCACGATACATTGCGATACATCCAGTCAGACGATATTGGCGATTTTTTAGACTAAATTTATTATAGGAAAATTCAATAAACTGTCCAAACTGATAGTTAACATCTTAGGTGTGTTCTTGCTGTGTCTTTGTAAATCCATGCTTTCGTTCTTTTTTAAACACAGAAACAGTTTTGTTTACCTGTTTGTAGCTACGGTTTCGCCGACAGCTGCCGGCTTCTTCAGGCTGACGCTGATGGTGGCGCGTCACTTCCTTCTCCGTTTATCTGCGGGCAGCAGAGGACGTTGTCGCCCTCTGCTGCCCGCTCTCCCCTCTCCGACGATGCAGTCCCATGCGTGGACCACGTCCTCTGCTGCCCGCAGATAAACGAAGGAAGTGACGCGCCACCATCAGCGTCAGCCTGAAGAAGCCGGCAGCTGTCGGCGAAACCGTAGCTACAAACAGGTAAACAAAACTGTTTCTGTGTTTAAAAAAGAACGAAAACATGATAGTTAACAAGTTTATCCATAACAGAGGGATTTACGTTTCAATGGTAGAAACAAAACCCATTACACAGTGCTGCCAACTAGTGGTCAGTGTTTGAATTGCACCACAAGAAAAGAAAATACACAAATGTTTCCATGTAAATTCTTCCCAAAATTAGATACAAGACTTTTGAATATCGATGCATTTGTGCAAGAAAAAAAATCACGATATATTGCAATATCGATATTTTCGATACACCGCTTTTGAATATCGATATAATATCGCTGGGGAAAATATCACGATATATTGCCATAATCAACATTTTCTTACATCTTACATTTTCATTCATACATTCTTACATACAAAAACCTCGTCAATATATGTTTGCAAATTTTCTAAATTTTCTCCACGTACCTCCAGGTTGAGTGTGTTATATTTACCAGATTTATTTATTTTTTGCGTTGTCAGTGAGTAAATTAGGCGAAAATGCGTCTTAATTGTTTGTGGAAGTTGATTAACGAGCTGCCATCTGCTTCTAACGCCGCCGTGTGTCCGGTGATCGGCCATCAGCACATGCGCGTGCTCAGGCTCAGAAAACCATGAACTTTACACGGCAGAATTAGCCAGAAAACGTATTCTGATGGAGCTGTGTCAACAAGTCAGCTGCATGAAGCAATGCTAACGCTACTAGCAACCATACAGTTGGAGCAACTCAGTTCTGGCAGGATTCACAATGCATTTGAGGAGGGAGCCATACCTAATAGTGGCAAATAAACAGATGAAAGAGATGTAAAGCAATTATAATTAAAAAATAACGTCATAATGCGTCCCCTTTACAGAGACGAGGAGCTGAAACGCAGCATTTCATGCAGATGATGGGAGCTGCAGATGTGTACGATATGAAAAAACTGTTTACCAAAGTCCTAACCACGCCTCTAATTACAACGTGCATGAACATGCATGCTAGTGTTTTCCTGTGATTCAAAGACAAACTGTAAACAAAGGCTGTCACAACTATGCAAAAATCAAATTCCAGCTTTTTTCCTAAGAGTTTCCAAGATATTCCGCAAAAAATGTACAAATGCACAAAACCAGAGAGCGATGAAGCGTTCAGGCCTTCAAAGACACAGCAGCTTCCTGGAAAAAGACACAGAGCTGTGGTTTAAAACGATAAATAAATAAATCTGACTTACCATCGCAAAACCCGACAACAGTGCAGACGTCCGGCTGGAGGCCTTCAGTTTGGCCCGACTCAGGTAGAGTTTCCTCCAGGACAGAGCCTGCACCGAATGGTGGTTGGAGCTGACCAGCTCCAGGTAACTACGCCGTACCCAGTCCCTGTAGTCCATCCCTCCATTTTCCGGAGCCTGCTCCGAGACCCCCGGGACGGGGGAACCCATCTGCACATTCAGCTCGCTGCTCATGGCACCCTGGTGAGTAGAAAAGCACACGATCAAGTCAAGTTCAGCTTTTCTTTGTTCAGCAGAACTCAAGAACCAAAGATTTATCCCAAAACGATAACAGACGTTTCATAACATGGGAATATTATAACTGCTTCATAGATAGAAATCTTTGGAGTTATTCAGTCGTAGAAAAGTTTTACCAGCTGTTGTGAAATAGGAAACTCCCTTAAAGGACTTAGACAACAACCAGCTGAACCCGTCCTAACGAGCAACATAGCATTATAAAACACTGCTAAAGCTTCCTTTGAGGTCACGAGGGTCAAAAAGTCAAAGCTACAGTCGCGTCTGAATAAAACGATGAATTCTGTGGTTTTGCATGTTTTTCCCACAGATCTCTGCTACGATGGGTATTTGGTAACTCCTGCAGCTAAACGTGATCCACCTAAAGAAGTCTTTATCTCAGCAGTCGTCTACGTTTTGTTTTTCTGAGTCGATAAATCGCTGCAGCTCCACGTTTCCATTTATGTCAAACCGTACTTTTGCCCAGATGTTCCCACAGCCCACTGTCCAGCTTTTTATGACCTTGGGTCGAGGAATGTTCCCCTCCCAACACTGATGGCAGAGATCCAGGCTGAGCTGGAGAAACAGAGATACGTTACAATAAACAAAAATAAATGGTCCCTCAGTCCGAAAGGGCCATCACAGCTTGTTGAAAGTACAGAACATGTACTTGTTTCCTACGTTATAGTAGTTCTATTGTCAGTACAAAACATGTTTATGAAGTTCTTTGAACAAAATCTCTCACATAAAAAAACCATCTCCACTGTTTTATTTTTGACATTTTCAGTACCTTCCACAATGAGTCGTTTGAAGGCTCTGTTACTTTAAAGAGTAACTAAATCCCAAACAACTTTATTTTGCTTATAAACTGTATAATTGAGTCTTTGCAAATGCAAACTTTCTGTTTCTGTGCATTTTTGACATGTTTGAGTAAACTTGATAAAATCTAGTATCTAGGTCTAAAAACGTCTTAGTGCTGCCCCCTGTGGGTTGAACAGTGGCTACTGCATTTTAAATTTGTGATTGACCGGAGCCAGTACAATTTCATGTCATTGGTACCGTCTCCTCCCACTCGCCCTCCCTTCCAGGATGGAAAGTCCCAACACTTGCCATGCCACTCTGTGCTTCCTGGCAACGCCCACTTTCATAGCATTTTTCAAATATTGACTAGGGGTGGAGTTACATTTTCTGATGGTGTGCAGTCCCTCTTTAGGAAAACAAGCTGGAGCTGGCCACGCCCACTGAAGCTGCTATAAGCTGAGAAGCTCCAGGAGGGGCTAGGAGTAGAGCTGCAGCTCCTCCTGTAACGGCTTTTTTGCATATGAGAGGTGGTTCTGTTCTGACATGTGTGATGTCACAAATGGGGACTATTTGAAATGTCTTGTTTTTACAGCACATAATTACCAAAACTAAAGACAGATTTTTTTTCAGCGGGGGGTGGGGGCGTTTTCGCTGCCGTGCGTTGCCCGTGAGAGAGGTGGTGGGCGTCGTTGCACGCAGAGAGCTTCCCTTCCATGCGTCTGTGAAGAGAGGGGAGGGGGGTCAATCTCGTAGGTACAGCGCTGGAATTTCAGCCGTGGCGCGGCGCCACACCTGAGCCTACGTAGGGGACAGCCTGGAGTGTTTAGAGGTAGCAGAGACCGACATTACAGCCCTAAGTGGATACAAATATTGAGTTTGGCCTAATACAGTGGTGTGAGAAACTATTTGCCCCTGTTACGTCCCCGACAGGAGGTGTTAAAATGTGAAGGAGGGGCAACATAAGAAATGCGACAGTGGAGTTAAAATGGTTAATTGTTGTAAAAGGTTCTAAAAACAAGAGCAAACAGATGGCGAGCATTATTAAAATAATGCAAAATGAAAAATTCACTAGAAGGTTAACAGTTAAAAGACTACTTATCAACTATATAAAACACCTGGTTAAAACTTTCTTAAGTTTTACAGAAACTGAAGGTGTTTAAAACCACAACGAAGTTGATAAAAGTCTAAAAACTAAAACAGAGCTAACCTTAAAACCGAGTTGACGTTAACTAAAGATCCATGTGGATCACTCAGAGTTAAAACTTTTACAGTTAAAACTCTTCCAATCAGAACGAAGGGGTTAAAACCAAAACAAGGCCTGGAGGACAGCAGAACCCCTGCACTGCTGAAGGCACAGCCTTTTTATCCCAGCTGTGGGTCATCAGCAGGATTCAGCTCAGCTGTGCTCCTCAGCAGCCTGGAGGAGAGGAGGAGGAGCGGGGTCGGGCTGATCACCGGGGCTGGGCGATCCTGGCAGCCGTAACAACCCTTCCTGATTTCTTACTCTTCTGCATGTTTGTCACACAAAATGTTTCTGATCATCAAACACGTTTAACCGTTAGTCAAAGATAACACAAGTGAACACAAAGTGCAGTTTTGAAATGATGGTTTTTATTATTTAGAGAGAACTAAATCCAAACCTACATTGCCCTGTGTGAAAAACTAATTGCCCCCCTTGTTAAAAAATAACCCAACTGTGGTGTTTCACACCTGAGTTCAATTTCTGTAGCCCCCCCCCCCCCCCCCCCCCCAGCCTGATTACTGCCACACCTGTTTCAGTCAAGAAATCCCTTAAATATGAGCCGCCTGACACAGAGAAGTAGACCAAAAGCACCTCAGAAGCTAGACATCACGCCAAGATCCAAAGAAATTCAAGAACAAATGAGAACAAAAGTGACTGAGATCTATCAGTCTGGTAAAGGTTATAAAGGCATTTCTAAAGCTTTGGGACTCCAGCGAACCACAGTGGGAGCCATTATCCACACATGGCAACAACATGGAACAGTGGTGAACCTTCCCAGGAGTGGGCGGCCGACCAAAATTACCCCAAGAGCGCAGAGACAACTCATCCGAGAGGTCACCAAAGACCCCAGGACAACTTCTAAAGAACTGCAGGCCTCACTCGCCTCAGTTAAGGTCAAAGTTCACGGCTCCACCATCAGAAAGAGACTGGGCACAAATGGCCTGCATGGCAGATTTCCAAGACTCAAACCACTGTTAAGCAAAAAGAACATTAGGGCTCGTCTCAGTTTTGCTAAGAAACATCTCAATGATTGCCAAAAGTTTTGGGAAAATACCTCGTGGACTGATGAGACAACAGTTGAACTTTTGGGAAGGCAAATGTCCCGTTCCATCTGGCGTAGAAGTAACACAGCATTTCAGACAAAGAGCATCATACCAACAGTAAAATATGGCGGTGGTAGTGTGATGGTCTGGGGTTGTTTTGCTGCTTCAGGAACTGGAAGGCTTGCTGTGATAAATGGAACCATGAATTCTACTGTCTACCAAAACATCCTGAAGGAGAACGTCCGGCCATCTGTTGGTCAAATAAAGCTGAAGCCATCTTGGGTGCTGCAGCAGGACAATGACCCAAAACACACCAGCAAATCCACCTCTGAATGGCTGAAGAACAACAAAATGAAGACTTTGGAGTGGTCTAGTCAAAGTCCTGACCTGAATCCTGTTGAGATGCTATGGCATGACCTTAAAAAGGCGGTTCATGCTGGAAAACCCTAAAATAAAGCTGAATTACAACAATTCTGCCAAGATGAGTGGGCCAAAATTCCTCCAGAGCGCTGTAAAAGACTCGTAGCAAGTTATCGCAAACGCTTGATTGCAGTTGTTGCTGCTAAAGGAGGCCCAACCAGTTATTAGGTTCAGGGGGCAATTACTTTTTCACACAGGGCAATGTAGGTTTGGATTTAGTTCTCTCCCTAAATAATAAAAACCATCATTTCAAAACTGCATTTTGTGTTTACTTGTGTTATCTTTGACTAACGGTTAAATGTGTTTGATGATCAGAAACATTTTGTGTGACAAACATGCAAAAGAATAAGAAATCAGGAAGGGGGCAGATAGTTTTTTCACACCACTGTATGTCCCCAGTTTCCTTCCAGTAGACATAATAACAAATCTTCTGACAAACAAACCAAACTTTCAAGGCTTATTGCTGCTGTTAAAATGTTTTATCTCCAGAAAAACAAAACTAGACTGCATTTTCTCTTTATTTTGTCTATAAAATATCTCCTAGAAAACAATCTAAAGCAGACAAAGTGTCTGATAACAGGGAACGGCTAATATTCAGCATAATAAGCCTTAAGTAAAAATAACGCTTTGGGATATTAAATGCATCATTTGTCAGTTACCAACAGAATTAAAAGTCCCAGTCCACACCATTACTGAATGCTGATTCAGACAAGCAAGTACTGTACAGTCTCGTGCAGATTTTAATATTCTCATAATTTTTAGGTTACACTAAAAAAATCAATTAACCAAATCATATTTCTTTGACATAAATCTGCATCTGGATCAGAGTCGTACAAAAATCGATATCGGCTAAAAAACATTGAACCAGTGCATCTGTGACTCCCAGTCATCAGAACATATTTAAGTTAAACGACTCATTTGCTTATAAAAATAATAAACTTTAGTACATTCTTGACCCGAAATGTGAATAAGAAACGTTCTATGATAGTAACACATTATTAACACAAAGTTCATCCTTTTGCAGAAAAATCTTATCAAGTATAATTGTTTTATTTATAACATTTCCAGCTGAATTAACAAAATTTAGATATGAATTATCTTTAGAGCGATTCTCAGGAGGACGAACAGATATCAGCTCCTCTGCGCTTCCAAGTATATTTAGATCCCTGGTATAAGTTAGCAGGATAAGTTTACAGAGTTAAGCTGAAAGAGGACTGAGAGGAGAAATACGTTTATTTCACACTGAATTGCTATGAAGGCTGGGGAAGTAAAATTATTTATTAAAATAATCTGCATACATTTAAAAATAAAGTGCTGCAAACTCGGCTGCAACAAGAAAACTCCCGCTGCTAGCTAACGTAGCTAACAGCGACATTTCAAAACAAGAAATTCAGCTACCGTTTTTCACAATTTATTTTTCAAACTTCTTTATTCTTACCTGATATAAAGGTGCCTTCTTAAAACGCAAATGTAAGCTCCAAGATGGGTTTCGCTCCACGCCGCAACACAAATGAGGGAACGCTGCTCGTCGGAACCAGACTGTTAAACGACTTCCGCTTCTTCTGCGACCCCCATTTCCTGTTGGCTCTTTGCTTTAGCAGTTCAACCCAAAAGGTCCTTCACGTTCTTGTTTTGGACCAGAAGTGCGAGACTAGTTTCCTCAGTTTCCTCGCTGCAAAATGAAACCGCCTCTTGTGGTTCGGACGATATGGGTGGTTCTGAACCAGGAAGAAAAGAAATGTCAATCTCTAATGGTTTCCGGTTGGGTCTATTCCTTTCAAAATAAAAGCGACTCTATCTATCTATCTATCTATCTATCTATCTATCTATCTATCTATCTTTCTATCTATCTATCTATCTATCTATCTATCTATCTATCTATCTGCTAATTTGCTTACATTTAAAGTAGAGCTCATTATAAGATCAGGATAACTCTAGCTGCCTTCAAAAGTTTTTTCCTAACGTATTGGAGGCCATTATAATTACATATGAAATTAAATGTCTACTTAAATAACTTAAATTACCGTAGAAGCTGCAACAACAACAAACATGTAAAACTGGGAATTCTCTTGTAACTTTTTCGTCTTTGTTTTCATCAAGCAGCTTTTTAGGGAGATTATGGTAACTTTTGTCGCCATCTTATGGTTATTTTATGACATTACACAAGCCACGCATTTAGAAACTGAAGATTGTTTTGTAGGGTTATAATAAATTTTCTAAACATTTGAAGTGTCAGTATTTGTTTTTTGCAAAGACGTTGAAGGATATATTGATTTATTTAAATATTTTAAAGTGATTGGGAGCAAAAATAGTTATTTGGGAAACACAATTTCTGTCATGTCACCGAAGCACCACAAGGGGCGACATTAAATATGAAGTGAGAGGAAGCAAAGATAATCATTTTCATTTGAGAGAACAGCATTACTATAATGTAACTAAAATGTTAAAAAGGGGGCGGCATTGTTGCTAAAGGCAAAGGCAATGAAACATTCCAAACTAGAAATGAACAGACTGACTCACCAGCTTTACTCTCTTTATCTCAGTACTACATAATCATTTACGTAGTAATAAAGATAAATAATTAAGACCTAATTACACGATAAACCAGCAAACAATTATGACAATAAAACAGATGAAAGGAGTTCATGTGAATTTGCACAGGTTACCTGTGCTGGTGCCTGTTGAATATTGAAAACAACAGAATTTCAGCACCTCACGTAACACACAGCTTGTAAAAGGTCTGCAAATCGTGACTAAACACGTCTAGATCTTTGCATAAGGAAGACAAATTAGTAGATCAAAGGTGTACTAGTGAATGCAGAATATGAACAGGTGCAGGTTGAATTATACTAGGTATGTGAAAACCCTGTGAATTAATTTTTTTCATGAATTACACAGAAAAGGATGCACAAAACCGAATAAAAGTGACTCAAAACTTTGAAAGCTGCAGTTAAAAGGAGTTGTAAGTGAATCATAACAAGGACACAGATGATTTAAAACATTTATTGGGTATCATCATAGAGGAAAAGTGAAAAAACAGTGAATTCAGCAGCCAGAATGGACTTTTAATATACCTCCAAGCTGCCGTGCTAAATAAAAGTCCTGTTTTGTTGGGTTTGTTGCCTCTTATCAGCTGAAGTACACAAATGATCTGAGATCCGAGCACGCTGCAGCAGTGCATTTAAAAACATAATTTCATATTTTTTATGTATATTTTTGTTGTAGTTCTCTATTTGGGAACAAAAACAAAATTTTTCTTAAAAAAATCCAACAAACGACTTCCCAGCTTTAAAGCCCATAAACAAAAAAAGGCCCAACCGTGACTTGGTAACTTATTACATTTACTTTGGATGTTTCCAGCAGAATTCTGTGACGTCTCAAACGTTTACGAGAGCCTAGCACAAATAAGAAATGATCCTGCTAACTGATTTCATGTTATTCTGGACTGCTTAGACATAATTCCTCTGTTTGCATGTATTTCTAGTAGATCTGAGTGTGGTGAGAACAAGTGAAACGACAGATTTTTGGTCACTAAAGTTCTGCGTCTGTAGGCATCTCTCCAGGTTACGCGAGGAAATAAAACCGCTTCCTTTTTGCTTGACTATCAAACCCATTTGGACTTCTAGTTAGTATCTTGTGAAGGATGGAGGTGGTTAGTGTTAGTGAGCAGGCCCTTTCCCTCTCTTGTGTCTGATCTCCTTTCTAAGGAGCGCTTGCAGCTTAAATCATACTTGGATGCACATCCAACGCCAAGCCAGCAGTTAGTCACTAAGGGCCGTATCAATCCTTTTCGTCTTATCAGAACAGAATAATCCATCTGCCAGGTCGCCGGAGGTGCAGATGTACAGTTCCAGGATGCTGCTGCAGGTTCCCGTCAACATTTTTACTTCACTGTCACAACCGCGGCGTTGTGAATGGACTCCATCACAGCAGCCAGGCGGCTGCACAGGTCATGGGCCTGGTTCACCTGGACTTTAGGTGGATCTTTCAGCACTACAGCGCCGGTGGAGCCGTCCAGAACCCTGGGCAGCAGCTCAGCCAGCTTTGCCTGCAGCGCAACTGAAAGAAAAAGAAAAACGAGAGAGATTAAGACTTTTAACTCCTCCAAACACACCCACATCACCCCGCTTCTCCTCCAGCTTCACTGGCTGCCAGTCACCTTCAGGGTTCATCTCAAGATCCTGGTTCTGGTCTATAGGGCCTTACATGGACAAGCACCATCTTACATTGGTGATCTTCTTAGTCCCTACACCCCCAGCAGGTCCCTGAGGTCCAGTGACCAAAGCCTACTGGTTGTGCAGCACCAGGCTAAAGGTCAAAGGTGACAGACCATCTGCTGCTGTGGCCCCCAGACTCTGGACCTCTCTCCCCCTGAGCCTGAGATCAGTGGACTCAGTGATTATTGTTTATTTAATTACATTTTTACTTAGTTACTTACATATTTACTTATTAACTTAGTTACGTAAGTATGTATGTATTTATTAATTTTCTTGGTAATTGGCTTATTTACTTATTTAGTTACTTATGGAGATACATACTTATTTACTTGGTTAATTACTTACTTGTTTATTTAATTACATTTTTACTTAGTTACTTACATTCACATTTACTTTTTAACTTAGTTATGTTATTATGTATTTATTTATTTATCTATCTTTTACTTAGTTACTTATTCAGTTACTTATTTATTTACTTAGTTTCTCATTTACTTAATTACTTACCCACATATGTACTTATTTATTTAGTTATTTTGTTACTTATTTACTTTTTACTAAGTAATTTAGTTACTTAGCTGCTTACTTACTTCGTCTGTTGTTTTTTTACTTAGTTACGTACAGATTTATTTAGTTATTTACGAGGTTATTTACTTCGGCAGTTTTTACTACTTTTATCACTCACTCACTGTTAATGGTCCTGTTTTGTTTCTACACATGTTCCGAGTGAAGATATCTTCATCATCGTCATTTATTATTGTGTTCATTTTCAGTAAACATTCTTTATGTTTTGAAGCTTATTTTACACCAATAAAAAAACAAGAAAATCTAGATTTAGACCTACATTTTCTGTCTCTACAGATTATTCCTCGTCTCTCGTCTCGTCTCGTCTTCCTCCGCTTATCCGGGTCCGGGTCGCGGGGGCAGCATCCCAACTAGGGAGCTCCAGGCCTTCCTCTCCCCGGCCTTGTCCACCAGCTCCTCCGGCAGGACCCCAAGGCGTTCCCGGACCAGATTGGAGATGTAACCTCTCCAACGTGTCCTGGGTCGACCCGGGGGCCTTCTGCCGGCAGGACATGCCCGAAACACCTCCCCGGGGAGGCGTCCAGGAGGCATCCTGACCAGATGCCCAAACCACCTCAACTGGCACCTTTCGATCCGGAGGAGCAGCGGTTCTACTCCGAGTCCCTCCCGAATGTCCGAGCTCCTCACCCTATCTCTAAGGCTGAGCCCGGCCACCCTACGGAGGAAACTCATTTCGGCCGCTTGTATCCGCGATCTCGTTCTTTCGGTCATTACCCAAAGCTCATGACCATAGGTGAGGATTGGGACGTAGATCGACCGGTAAATCGAGAGCCTGGCTTTCTGGCTCAGCTCCCTCTTCCCCACGACAGATCGGCTCAGCGTCCGCATCACTGCAGACGCCGAACCAATCCGCCTGTCGATCTCCCGATCC